CCACCCAGCACACCTGGTTCTGGGGACAGCCAGGGGTGCAGGGAGGAGGGACAGGGTGACCACACCACAGAGGAGCTTCTCTGCTCCCATCAGGATGTTTCCTGACAAGCAACAAACTAACCAAACCAGCCTGAACCTAATTCAGGCCCTCAGCTGCCATCTGTCAGATCTGCAGACTGCAGCTCTGCCTCTGAACCTGCAAAGCTGAGCGCAGAAACGCGGGCGGGAGAAGCGAAGCCACTGCTGGCTCATGGCAGAGAGGATGAACTCGCCTCGAACTCCTCATGCTGATATTTATGAAATGTTAAATCTTCATTCGAAAACGTTCCCTTAAGCTGGGTGACATGGCAATGAGTACGACCCATCACTACTCGGAGTCTCTGTTGCATAATAAGATTAAGGGTTTATGACCTGCAGACAATGGCTCGTGGCTCAGGCCGGGCCGTGGGGAGCTGCCTCACACACACAGAGCTATCTGGAGTCCCCGATGGAGTGATTTGCGTGCGGCACATCTGGTCTACGACCGCCAACGAATGAGTCTATGGGCTAACATGGACGAGTAACAGGCTGATGGAGAAACCATGATTGTAAAATGATTCAAAAAATATCTTGAGCTCTTTTGGATACAAAACAAAAATAAGAGAATAGAGTCAGTGGTTTAATTCTAGGGGGGGGTTAATTTGAGAAAAAAAAAAAAGGCAATTTAACTATCAGCATAACAGCATGTGCGGGTTCTTGTACGGAGGGTGTAGGTCGCCTACAGCGGCTTCAATTTGAACACCCGGATAATGGGATTTACCAAACAGGGCACTATGGATCCAAGCAGCTCTCTGCTGTGTTATCCCTGCGCTTTCAATCAGACCAAGGCTCTGCTTTTATCTGCCACGCTCGTTCGCGTTGACGGTGCCTATAATATCAACTCGACAATGCATGTTCTACAACTACATCTACTGCTACCAGTACGACTACTACAGTGCATGCATTTAGTTCAGTCCCACAGATACATACACTCTAAGAACAGGCAAGGGGAGATGTGAAATGTTTTACGGGACGACAGGTGTTTTGTTTTTTAAGTAAGGGAAATTAATAAAAACATCAAAAGAAAGAAAGTGTACAAAAAAATAGAGACATTTCTCAAGAGTTGATATGAGTCGTTTCTTGAACCGTTTCGTCCGAACAAGCAAAAAACATGCAACCAGCTGCTACTAACAAGAAGCTGGACACTGAGAGAGGATTAATAGGTGTGGACAAACCTTCCCGCTGAGAGCGCTCAGAAGAGTGTTTGAGAGGAGGTGTGCACGTCCGAGTGTAAGAGAGGCCGGAAAGTTTGCCTCAGAGACACCCTCTCTCACAGCAGCCCCAACCAAGCAAGAGAGAAAACAACAAAACATAACTGCTCACACTCACCATCAAGGTCAGTAGCTCATGTTACGAGATTTGTTATAGCTGGCAAGTATAAAGTCCAGTAAGGGGTTGTAGGGCGCAGGGCTCAAAGGCAGCACTGGCAAGCTCAAAGGGACTGGGGCCCAAAATCCAGATGTGCCAGGGGTTGGGGAGGGGGAGCAGCAAAGCATGCCCAGGGGAGCTGGTGCTGCTCACCTGGGACAGGGCTGGATCACAGATGGCCTTACAGCTTTTATCTCCAGTCCTCAGGGAGGAATAGTTGGTGGCAACAGGTTGGGAACTGGAAAAATTCTCAGACTTGTCAATGGAGCAAAGAGGAAGGAACAAAAACCCTCTCCTACCAAATTTTCCTCGCCTTGCTCTCCTGCCAGATGAACCCCTCCCATGTCAAATGTGAGAGGAAAATGTGCCCCCCCATGACTGTATCGTAAAAAAAGCATTTACACGACAAAAATGTTTCACATGTGAAATATGTCAGGTGGATTCAAAAGAAACGTGACATTGATAGTGAAGTTGTCTAGGAGGAGTTTGCAGCATTCAGACTTTTTAAGTTTGCTCGTTTTCGGTGGCTCAGGTCCCAATTCATTAACAAAAACACAAGAATGGGTGAGGTTGTCAGAATCAGTGGAGGGATTGGGCAGCACAGTCCCAACGTGGGGGTGACCAGATCTCTGCCTGCCCAAGGGACCTTGGCTACGGCCTTGTCACTGGGGCTGTGATTTCTGAGGAGCAGCACTGCCACTCTCACCCTGCCAGCACGAGCAGCTACGCGGGACACGAATTTATGGGAGGTTCTGAGCACGAGGAGAGGGACACGTCTCTTTCTGCTGGATGCAGGACAATGCAGTGACAGATAAAAGAGCTGGAGCTGGTGGCACGTGCTGCTCCAGAAAAGGAAGGGGCAAGGGCAGGGAAGACCAGACAGCACAGAACCAGGGCCAGGTGCCGTCCCATGCAGACCCAGTGGGCTCCTTTCGCTGGCTTAGCACACATAAAGGTGTCCCAAGAGGAGGAACATCAACCCAGGGAGAAACCAAAGTGGTGAGTGCCCAGGGGCTTGGAGTGAAAGGGCTGCAGCTTCCTTGGGGACCAAGACGCTCGCCTGAAGGTGGATGCTCTCTGTGGGTGCTCAGCCTGGAGGGCACTCAAGTCTCTGCGCTGGCAGCGATGCCAGGAAGGGGGGGAAGAGGCAGCAGGATGGGAGTGGAGTGCAGAGAAGGTCAATTTTGGGTGAGCTGGTGGGGCTGGAGTGCTGCTGAAGGGGCAGCAGTGATGGGGACACTGATGACATGGATTGTCATCAATGCTTTTCTCCAGGACTGTTTGCTCTGTGATGGAGGCCCTGGGAGAGCCCTCGCCAGGGCGGTGGGATGTGCCTGTCCAGGTGTTTCCCAGCTCTTTCCTGGCAGAAAGGGGCCAGTCAGGGCCAGCTGTGCCATGCTCTGTGAAGGAGGGCTGTGTAATTTGTGAAGGGAAAAAGAAAACCCCAACCTAAAAGGAAAGAAGGAAAAAAAACCCCAACCATTTTTCTTGTAATGAATCGGGCCCGTACACTGCAGCGCAAGATCGATCGGACTCCACTGCTCCTGGATACAATTCACTACCATTGCTGATGGGGTGGAGAACCCAGGATGTCCCTTCCGAAACCGGCCTGGGATGGAGATGACTCTAGGGAGAACCTCCCGTGCCCAGGGCACACTGTGGTGCAGACGTGAGACAAACCCACGTTCCTCCCAGAGACCTCGGGGCTGGGGGGACAGGGGCTCTTTGGATTCAGTTTTGGGGTTTTGCCAGTTTTGTGCATGCAGGCAATTTTGAGGCTTGAAAAGACATTTCCAAACACCATACTGCTCTTTAAACTTGCCAGAAAGGGTGTTGTTAATTTAGGGTTAGATTTAGTTTCGTATTGCAAGTTCAAATAAAAAAAAAAAAAAACCAAAACCAAAATAACCGAAAAAACAAAACAGAAAACCCAACAAAAGAGAAACCAAAAAACACTCAAAATTAAAGACAAATGATTTTCAAGCACAGAATTGATCAATGCTCAGTTCAGTTGTAATGGGCACCAAAAGCACTCCGATTAAAAAAAAAAATCATAATCATCAGGGAAGCAACGTTAATCCAGCCAAACCCTCTGTGCCTTGCTAAGGGGCAACTCACCAGGTCTGTTTGCACGTAAAACAAAACCTGAAGGGCAAAACATGAGGAAGAGGCAGAAACAATGAGGTCTGTTTTCCTGGAAGCATATGCAAAAGCAATCTCATTTTTTGTTTTGTTTTTTTTTTTTCTCTTTGGGCTTGTTTTTCCCCCTCTGTGGCGGGGCAGTAGGAGAAGCCAGGAGCTGGGGGATCCCCACAACCAGGCTGGCAAGTCACCCCTTAGGCGCTCTCTACATGCCACGAGATGGAACTGGTACAGAGAGTCCTTTGTAGCCTGCAAGCAGTGCCAGTTTGCATGGAACGGAGTTCTCCTGGTGTCTTTCTTTGGCCTCCATGGCATCAGGCTCACACCTGAGACACACATGGGACTGCGCCCTCCTCCTAACCCTCACACAGTCAGGGCTTTTTGGGCAGAGCCTCAGTAACCCACGGGCACTGCCCGAAAAGCCTCTGAGAGCCCAGTCCAGCTCAGCCAGGAGCGAGCGGAAGGCGCTCCTGGCTGAGCTGCGGCCCCGAGGAAGCGACGGGCAGAGGACGTGGGGCTGGCAGCAGCTCCACCCAGCAGCACCTCCACCCCGGTCTGCCTCGGGAGCCCTCAGCTCACTGATGGCTGCTCTGAACTCCTGTCACCTGAGCAAAGCACTAATCCACATGTTTAGCAAAATTTAAACCTAAGGCAATCACGGTAATTGGCAACGATTTATTTATTTCCCTTAAGGGGAAAAGAAGTCGAGGTTTTTCAGAAGGACAGAAGAAAAGCTTTGGGATTGCCCACGGAAGCAGAGGGTTGGAGCAGGCAGGGGCAGTGAGCTGCCAGCTGTGTGCCACGCTGATGGCACCAGGGACACCCTTC